CTAACTCTGTTGGGAATAAGTTCCTCCCAGCACAAACTTAGTGGACTCCTCTTGCTGTTTATTCCCATGGGTAGTCTAGGTCTCTCTGCAAGGACCAAAGCAACACCTCTACTTCTCCCACCTGAGTTTGGCTTACCTTTCCCCACAATACATCCTCCAGGCTCCTGAGGATTGCTCAGGAATGGGCTGTGAAAGACCTTCTTGCAAATAAAGTGTCTGAGCACTAGAGGGCTCAGTTCTGGTAAATGATGAGCCAATACCATTAGGTGATGGGCCAAGAATAGAAGTCATTCTTCCAGACCTTCAGCTGGAGGGATTCTTTTTCCTGATGAACCCACCCAATAGCTCCCTTCTCAAGGAACTTTCAGAAGCCAAAGTGTACGAGTGGCTAGAGTTGTTAGTGATAGAAACATAATAATCATCCATGATATTCAATTTTTACAACTATCTAGAATCTGTCATACAGATACTGCATGGTTCAAAATCAAGAAGAGGGTGCAGCAAGGTTGTATTCTTTCACCATAGTTACTCCATCTATATGCTGAGCAGATAATCTGAGAAGCTGGACTATAGGAAGAAGACCATGGCATCAGGATTGGAGGAAGACTCATTAGCAACCTGCACTATGCAGATGACACCACTTTGCTTGCTGAAAGTGAGGATGACTTGAAGCACTTACTGATCATGATTGAAGACTACAGTCTGCAGTATGGATTACATATATTAATATAAAGAAAACAAAAATCCTCATGACTGGTCCATTAAACAGCTTCATGGTGGATGGAGAAAAGATTGAAGTTGTTAAGGATTTCATATTACTTGGTTGTATAAGCAACACCGATGGAAGCAGCAGTCAAGACATCAGATGACGTATTGCATTGAGCAAATCTGGTGCAAAAGACCTCTTACAAGTGATGAAGAGTAAAGACGTCTCCTCTAAGACTAACCCAAGCCATGGTATTTTCAGTCTCTTCTTACTCATGTGAGAGCTGGACAATGAATAAGGAAGACCAAAGAAGAGTTGATACTTTCGAGTCGTGGTGTTGGAGAAGAATGCTAAGAGTACCACGGTCTGTAAAAGGACTAACAAATCTGTCCTGGAAGAAGTGCAGCCAGAATGTTCCTTGGAGGAGAGAATGGTCAGACTTTGTCTCACTTAACTTTGGTCATTTCAGAAAGAATCATTCCCTGGAGAAGGATATCATGTTTGGTAAAGCAGAGGGTCAATGGAGAAGGGGAAAGCCCTCAATGAGATGGATAGACACAGTGGCTGCAACGGTGGGCTCAGGTATAGCAATGATCATGAGGGTCACTATGAATCAGAGACTACTTGACAGCACCGAACAACAACACAACAAATTTAAAAAAGCCAAAGCCGTGTAGAGAGTTCCATGAGAAAAGAGTAAAAAAGATTCCCATATCAATTTTTTTTCACATATTCAAAAGTAAATTTCCACAATTATAATAAAATATTTATTATTAAGACATGCTGTTAGATGGAAAGACAAACACTTCAAAACAACTGAAATATTGTATTTTAAAATTATAAATACATTTTTTTAAAAAATGCTGTGGTTTGGTTTTATGCCTACTAGATGCTTATTTCCAGGAGTTTCCTTGAAAATTGGTCTTGAAAAATGGTCCTTCCTCATTGCTCTTATTGTTAGCTCTCATTATGTTGACCCCGACTCATGGCAACACCATACCAAAACAAAACCAAACTCACTGCCATTGATTCATAGTGAATTGCCATTGGGTTTCCAAGGTGGTAAATCTTTATGGAAGTAGATTGCCCCATCTTCTTCCCTCAGAGAGCCTGGTGGGTTTGAACCACCAACCTTCTGGCTAGCAGTCAAATTCCTTAAGCACTAAGCCACTTGAACCATCTTACTTTTTATTTAGGAGTCACACTGGCTAAATGCATGACTGATAACCAAAAGGCCAGTAGTTTAAACGCATCAGGGATGTGGCTATCTACTTCCCTAAAGATGACAGTCTTGGAACGCCCCTAGAGCTGTTCTACACTGCCCTATAAGGTTGCTAGGAGTTGTGATTGACTTCACAGCAATGGGATTGTTTGTTTGTTTTCCCTATCCCTCAAAATGTGCATATTGAGTCAAATCCCTAAGGCAGGTCTCCTGAGTTTTCACATAGGAGAGAGATCATAAATAACCTTACTTACCATACCTCTTGACTAGAGGAAGCTAGGAAGCAGAAATGAGTGAAAGATACTTACTCAGCTCAGAAAACCAGGGGAGAATAAAAACATTTCAATCCAGATTACACACTTAGACTCTTCTGCTTCCCATATCACACCCACACAAACCTGCACAGATATACAAATCTAATCTCACTAAGAATAATACCTTCATTCAATTACATTTCTCCTGCAGAAACCATCACTCTACCACCTTTGGCCACATAGCTTAGCACCGATACACTACACATCCTTATAGAGTTTCATGCTAAGTGACTCTGCCTGCAAATGAATGTCTCCACAAAGGTATGTTCTTGAAATTAGAATCACAGCAACTAAGGAAGTTGAAGAGGTGGTGCAATTCTTTTTCACTTGACTATTAACCAAAAGTTTGGTGGTTCAAACCTACCCAACAGCTCTGTGGGAGAAAGACTTGGTGATCTGCTTCCATAAACACTACAAGTGAGAAAACTCTATAGAGCATTGCTACTCTGTAAACCATGGAGTCTCTGTGAGTTAAAATTGACTTGACAGAAACAGGTTTAGTTTTTTGTTTTTTTCTGTTTTGATTTAGGTTCAAAAGGGAACCTCAAAAAATCAATCATTGTGGGACCAAAAAACATAACTGACAGGGATGAGTTTTCCCCCACTCTGGAAAAGAGTGAAACCCCAGCTAAAAGCCCTTTTGTACCCCATCATTCTCGTCCCCATATTCATATAGGCTCAAAGAGTAGCCACTTTCTTATATTGACCTTTGAAATCTTCCTTTTGGGGCACAAAAGAGAGGAAGAGAGAGGAAAATAAGATGGTACTGGATCCAATTTCTCACCCTCCACTGTCTAAGATTGTTCCCTAAGTGTCACAAGCCAGTGTTCGGGCTGAGCACAAGAGTGACAGGTGTCATCAGTGAAAGTTGCCTTGCAAATAGGAGGGGTGCCCTCTTTCTCTCTGTCACTTTGGAATCCAGAAGATGAGTAAAGTGATTGCAGCAGTAGACAACACAAAAAGAGATAGAAATCCACATCTTAGCAATATAAACGGATAGTTTGGTAGTGAAAACACCAAACTGGTGGGGAGACTCAAGACCTCATGTCAGCTCTTCCAGTGACGTGCTGTGTGATCTGGATTGCATCAGCCCTCCTGTCTGCAGTCAGTCTTCAGGATGTTTAGACTAGGGTGAGATTACTTATCGTAGTCTGTCCTCTCCAGAATTCTGTTAGGAGGTAAAGAGCTCCTGAAAGAGAAAAGTATCATTATTATGGGTTCCAAATTTTTTCATCCTGTGTACTTTACTTTAAGTTCAACCACCAAAACTTTATGAGGTATGTAGGTCTGATGTTGCCATTACCAATTTAAAAATGACAAAACTGAAGATGAAAAGGTCAAAGGATTTTCCAATGCCACATAATGAGGGAGTTGGGAAGCTGAGACTGGAATTTCATTGCTCTTTCTAAGTTGAGACTCTTAAGTAAAACAATCTATTCAAGATCACACAGCAATCTTGGGAAGGAATCAGAACCGTAAGTCTAATTTCCTGGCATCACAGCCAGGTTTCTTTTAAGTACACTGTGTCACTGAGGGAGGGTATATATAATAAGTTCTCTTAAAAAAAAAAAAAGAACCCTCTGCAGGATTTATTTACTATTTACTATTGGCATCCTCAGAACACTAAAATCTCTCTGTCAGCTTCCATCTCCTATTAACATTCTGCTGTGCAAGTACCATCCAACCATCCAACTGGTGGGTATGCAAGACTGTGAGCTGCCTTTGCTACAGCTGGAAGTGCAATCTCTGGCTTTCTCCTATTGTATTCATGTGAATACTCAAATCATTGCAGATATTCAGTTATGAAGCATATGAGTATATTTAGGATGCTTAGGGAGCTCTGGTAGCGTAGTGGCTAAGGCATTTGACTGCTAACCAGAAGGCTGGTGGTTCAAACCCGCCAGCCACTCCTCGGAAGAAGGTTGGGCAATCCTACTTCCGTAGTGATACTGCCTCGGAAACCCAAGGAGAGGTCGCTATGAGTCAGGGCTGACTCGATGGCACATAACAACAACAACAACAGCCTTTTTCTGAGCATTTTAGGTGAGATGAAAAAGGAACTATTCAGTGTGTATTTAGATAGATAAGATACAAACACTGAAAATAAAGTGAATGCAAAGCTACAGCTTTAAATCTAAAAGTCAGTGGCATAATATTTACAGTTGTCAAAGTTCACTTTTTTAGTGACCACTGATCAAAGTATCTACATACAGAGCAGTCATCTGCATGTGGAGGTTACAACAACAGAAATACGTAGTCCCAGTGAAAAGGATGTTGATACGTAATGGAAGAATGAAAAAATCAAAGTAAAAAAAAAAAAAATCTCACTAAGGGCTGGGTTAGAAAGGACAGTTTCCAGAGGCAATAAAATGTTCTTAGGACTTTAAAAAATGGAAAGGCGATAAATGAGGAAAAAATGAACAGTGGCAAGACTAAAGAGTATAGGGAAAAATATCCCTAGATACATGTGGACAAAGTCAGTATGTGGTTCACAAGATACACTTGGAGATAAGTCCAGAACAGTCAGGCTGTGCAAAGGCTTACTGCCTTAGCTTGGTGCTTGGAATAAAGAACTCAAAACATGACTGAAAACAGCCAATGAGGGAAATAATTGTATTTAATAAAGTTTGTAATATTTTAATATTTCAATAACAATAAATATTTTTTGCCAGCCTGAAGACATTATTTCCTAGGAAGATCATCATTTCAAGTGAATGAACCAAATACTAACAGGACAAGCATACCGACATAAAGCCCTTCATTTGTCAAGCCCCATGTCAGCTTCTAATATCAGTAGTAACAGTCTCCCAGACACTCTCTTCCTTACAGGGATTCCGGGACTGGAGGCTAGCCACATCTGGATTGCTATCCCATTTTGTGCCGTGTACCTGGTGGCACTGGCTGGAAATGCTGCCCTTATCTTGGTCATTGTGACAAAGAATGCTCTTCACGAACCCATGTACCTCTTCCTTTGCCTTCTCTCACTCACCGACCTGGCCCTCAGCTCCACAACAGTACCCAAGACACTGGCCATTTTGTGGCTTCATGCTGGTGAGATTTCCTTTAATGGCTGCCTAGCCCAGATGTTTTGTGTCCATTCTATCTATGCCATGGAGTCCTCAGTTCTTCTTGCCATGGCCTTTGATCGATATGTGGCTATCTGCAACCCTCTGAGATATACAACCATTCTCAACCATAGTGCAATAGGCAGAATCGGCCTTGCTGGGATATTGCGGAGTATAGCTGTTGTTTCCCCTTTCATCTTCTTGCTGAAGCGACTGCCCTACTGTGGGCACCGTGTCATGGCACACACATACTGTGAGCACATGGGCATTGCTCGACTGGCCTGTGCCAATATCACCGTCAATATTGTCTATGGGCTAACTGTGGCTCTTCTGGCCGTGGGTCTGGATTCCATGCTCATTGCTATCTCCTATGTCTTTATCCTCCAAGCTGTCTTTTCCCTTCCATCTCGTGATGCCCGGCACAAGGCTCTGAGTACCTGTGGCTCCCACCTTGGAGTCATCCTGGTTTTCTACATCCCTGCTTTCTTCTCCTTCCTCACTCACCGCTTTGGCAGACACCAAGTCCCCAGGCGTGTACACATCTTTCTGGCTAATCTCTATGTGCTGGTGCCTCCTGTACTCAACCCAATCATCTATGGGGCCAGGACCAGGGAGATCCGAAGTCAACTTCTAAGAATGCTTCACTTAAGGAAGGACTCAGTATGAGTTCTGAGTATAGGTTAAATGTGTGTGGGGGGGAGATGAATGGGCAGGGAAACTATCTAATGCAATTATACGCATCAAAACCTATGATGTAAGAAAGATGGGCTAATTTGGGAGGAAACCTTGCAATCCTGACCAGGTGAATTAGAAATATCAATGATCACATAGAACATGTCATGTTCTCAAGGCTCAAATTGCTCAGATAGGGGATAACATTTTCTCTCGTGTCTCAGAAGAAGTTATGATGTACCAAAGAGGAAGGCTGCTTCAGGTCTGGAAAGGACTCTACTGGAGGGCAAATGGAAAACAAACCAAAAAATTCTTAGAATGAATTTGAATCTGAACTCCACGAATTTGTGTAACAGTTAAAAGACAAGGTCTGAAATCAGTGGCTGGTGTCACTTCTGACTCTTCCACTTATTTCGTTCATGTACTTCAGAAAATTATTAGGTCTTTTTGTGTCTCAGTTTGTCCAAGTGTAAAATGGGGATAATGATAATATCTAATTCTTAAGTTTGTGGTAAGAAATAATAAATGAATAAATGCAGAAAATTTTGAACAGACCCTAACATATAAGAGTGATCAAAGAATAAATGTAAGGTGAGAAATTTATTTAACATCTCTAAGCTTTATTAATATTTCCACTTACATCTTTTTCTTAACATTGTTTCATCTCACAGGGTTATTGTGACAACTCCATTAATGCACAACACTAAATACACATAATACATACGTACATAAATTATATAACAACTCTATAACAGCTAGTTTGTGCTTGGAATAAAATTAGTGCTCATTAAAAATGTTATTTCTGCCATGACACCTTCATTTTTTATCCCTTTCCTTTCAGCCATAAAGAAATGGCATCTCAAGGATGCAGGACAGTATATTAAAATCCAGGTGCACTCTTGGTTGGAGTTTTGTTGATGTTCTTGGATGTATAGATTTCTATTTCTCATCAAATCCAGGAAGTTTTTTATTACTAGTTCTTCAACTATTCTTTCTTCCTCTTTATTTCTCTCCTTCCCTTCTAGGAATGACATCATGCGTAAGTTGGTATGCACAATGGTGTCTCACAGATCTCTGCAGCTCTTCATTTTCCGTCTCTCTTTATTCTTTCTGTTTCTCGTGTTGGGTCATCTTGACTGACTAATTGTCAAGTTTGCTGTGTCTTTCTTGCCTGGTCAAATCTTCTGTTGACCCTTGTGGTAAATTTTTTGTTTTTCCTTACTTCAAGCCAGGCTCATTATGCCCCTCATATATACAGCATCAGTGGTCTGGGCACCCATTCTCAAAAGTCTGCACACCACTTCTATAAGGAACTTCCTTTGAAGTTCTGATAAGCAGAACTTCCTCCCTTAGTACAGTAACTGATTCTAGCAGTTAGTAACTCTCTATTAAGGCAGTGTTCCCTACATTGCAGACACAAAACTCCTTCCACTCCCAGAGTTATTTATATAAACAAGGTTTCTCTGAGCTTACTTTTATAAAAACAAAAATAAAGAGTAACTAAAGGTGAAACAGATCTTTCTCCATGAATGCTGATTTGTGAACACATAAACTGATTAGGTAGGGAGGGGTAAAATTCCATCAATCTCCCTAAAGAATGTTTTCCAAAACATATTCAGTTTATATAAAATATTTATGAAATTTAAAAACTTTATATTTCTTTTAATAATGTGCTTTCATCAGTGAATTTATATAAATGGGGAGGAGCAACTCAGAAAAGCAGGGTGAGATGGTTGCACAACTTGAGGAATGTAATCGATGTCACTGAATTGTACACGTAGAAACTATTGAATTGGTGTATGTTTTGCTGTGTATATTCTCAACAACAGAGACTTTTAAAAAATGAATCAATGTGATTTTAAAAACTAGAAGCCTGCATAAAAATTTCTGTATTATAAAATGTATTTGCAAAAGTCTTGAAATATATTCCTAACAAATATAAGATTCTACTGTATTACTTCATAAAATAGTTTTAAAGGTCAAATGATTTGATTAAAATCATTTATTCTATAAATTAAAGTTTTATGGTGAATGGTTGGGAAAAAAAAATGCCCTTATATAATTGTAATAACAGAACATTTTACTACTAAGAGCCTTTTAGTTATAAACACAAAGTAAATAGTTTCTGCTTACATGCAGATTTTTATGGCAAACAAGTATGAAAAGTAATCATTACAAAACTTTTAAGCATTAAACAAAGTGAGAAAGGGAAACTACCTCAAGGAGACAAAGTAACAAGTTGTAATAATTATGAAAAACATGCTCATATGTTTTTTAATGGATCAATAACTTCTAGGGTATTTAAATTCCATACAAAAAAAAAAAAAAAACAAACCTCACTCCCATGGAGTCTGTTCTGACTCATAGCAACCCCTCCTTGGGTTTCCGACATGGTGTCTCTATGAAAGTAGATTGCCCAACCTTCCTTCTGAGGAGTGGCTGGTGGGTTTGAACTGCCAGCCTTCTGGTTAGCAGTCAGATGCCTTAGACACTACGCCACTAGAGCTCCTGTTTAGATTCCATAGGATAAATTTAAAAGTGTGATGTGGCAGTTTTATTTTTAAATGTCAATTTTCATTAAATACTGAGTATTACATCATTTTGAACTATTTAATCTGTTAATGACCATTTTTTTCTGTCAATTTAAAGTATCTGAAAGATCTTAAAGTGTTTTTAAAATTCTTTAGGAAGTAATCAAAACAAAATTTAAAGGCTGCTGATTGGATTATTATGAAAGGGGTAGGTATTATAAGGAAAAGTGTTACTCTTAAGACATGGGGGGAATTTAATGTATACTGGAAAGGGGACTTAATGGAAAGAATCTTAGGCCCAGTCATTTGATGAGTGGCTATTGGAGGGAATTTGATGGAGGCTATTGGAGACTGGCAGAAATCTGGCCGAAACACTGATTATCACTATGAAGGCCAGTTTCATGGATACAAATCCTATGTAATTGCAAGAGCCCCACTCTCAGAAAGGCCCTGTGCTTTGTTTCATGCTCTCTGTCACAATCTTGTAATGCTTAATTATTTTATCTTCGAACTATGTTTCCTAGTGAAAACTGATAGGGCAATGGAACATGTGCACGTTTACTACCATTCCTTGACACCCTGTGAGCATAGTAATCTGGTAGACCCCCAATATATGGGAATTCAAGGAAATACACAGATAAAAAAGGAGAGGAGGAAAAAAAAAAGTAAAAACATAAGCATATTAGACATTTCTTTCCACCTAGTTTTAAAAAAATCATTGGAAATTTGTTTCCTTCCCCCCCCACCTCTCTTTTTCTTTTATCACTCCTATTCTCTTTCCTTCAAAATGTACATTACAAGTCAAATCCCTTGAGCAGGTCTCCTGGGTTTATACACCAGAAACTCAGAAAAAGAATCAATAAATAGCCTTACCCAGTCTTAAACACAGGAGACTGGTACCCAGACCTGAGCTGAAGACATTCACTATACCATAAAACTGAAGAAGGATCAGACATTTCAACCCTAATTGCACACTTAAACCCACCTTCCTCCCACATGTCATTTTCACACAAACCTGCACAGAAAGACAACTTTCACCTGAATAACCACACTTTCATTCAGAAACATATCTCCTGTACAAGTCATCGCTGCACCACACTCTGCCCACACAGCCACATCCCCATACCCTGTACAGCCTCACATCCATGCATTACACAGCCTTACATCCATATATTACATAGCCTCACACAGCTCCAGATCAAGTGTGCTCGATCTGCAAATGCTTGTCCACCATACAGGTATGTTCTTGTAATCAAATTTACCAATAACTATGTAGGATAAAATGACCCAGATTTTTTTATTACATTCTAGATCTGAAAGAGGGCTCTCTTTTAAAAGCCATTACGGTGACCTAGAGGTAAGACTTATAAGGAAAAATTTGGGAGGGTGCCTCCATTGGGACCAAACTGACACTCTATCTCAACATTCCTTTCCCAGGAGAACAATCCAGTTTGAACCCTAATCTTTGTGGTCTCCACATGTATAGAGGCTCACAGAGTACCAGCTTTTTTATGATGACCATATGATATTCTCCTCCAAGGGCGATTATAATAACAAGAGAGAAGAATAGAGAATGATAGTGACTTCAGCTCCTCATCCTCAGCCACACACACATTTTCTCAAATATCACAGGCCACTGCTCAGGCTGAGGCCAGGAGTGGCTTGTGCCATCAATGAAAGTCCCCACGCACGTAGGAGGGGCTCCCCACTTTTCCTTGTCTCTTCAAAGTTCAGAGGGTGAGTAGAGTGACAGCAGCATTAGAATGTGATGTTAGACAGAATGCCTAGCTTGAGAAAGACAGAAAGTAAAAAATTGACCACAAGAAATGGACATGTGGGTGAGGTGACAACACCTACCTGCTTTTGGTGATAAAGAGTTTGTAAACATGAAACAAAATTATGTTGGGCATCCAAACTTTGAATCCCATATACTTTACACTTGCTTAACCACAAAACCTTTGAGGTAAGTAGGGCCGGTGTTGCCATTCTCAATTAAGAGCTGAGAACACTGAGACACTTTTTAAAATGCCAATTCTAACATGAGTTGGCCTCGAGAAGGGAAAGGATTTTCTCAAGGTCACACAACAGTCTTGTGATAGAATCAGAGATCAAATTAAGATTTCTTGGCAACATATCCAGAATTCACATAAGTACCTGGTAGTATGTGGTTGATAGTTGCTACCAAGTCAGTTCCAACTCATGGACCCCATGTATGCAGAGTAGAACTGCTCCTTAGGGTTTTCAAGGCTGTGACCTTTCAGAAGCAGATTTTCAAACCTTCCTTCTGAGGCACCTCTGGGTAGGTTCAAACTGCCAACCTTTCAGCTAGTACCCCAGTGCTTAATTCCTTGTGCCACCCAGGGACCCCAATTTAGAGTGTGTGTATAATGTGAATCCTCTACAACAAAAACAGATTCACTGTTAAGGATTTCTCTACTGTTAAGCAAGTCCAGGAAATTCACCTCTCCTGTGATCAT